CTCTCTCTCTCTCTCTCTCTCTCTCTCTCTCTCTCTCTCTCTCTCTCTCTCTCTCTCTCTCTCTCTCTCTCTCTCTCTCTCTCTCTCTCTGTGAATGGAAGCATGCATGGGTTGCCAGATAGGGATGCAATAGACCTACCTTCCGATATCATTGATGCGACTGATACATTAGCGGAGCAGATGCACTTGATTGGACTTGTGAAGGATGCTGGAGAAGAACTTTGAATGTGCCTCTGATGTATTCATAATCACACACAAGATATGCCAACCAAGCAAGACGCCCAAAAGTCAGTTCAGTCAATTCCTTAACAGTTTAAACCCCCAGTACTTCATAGGCACTTTCGACGGGCCTGGAAACGCCTTACGGGCCCAAAAAGAAGAAGAAGAAGAAGGGAAAAAAAAAAAACCCAGCACAGACCTTAGTTTGGCTGACGCCGCTTATCATTTTGCTCCAGAATCCGGGCCCGAAACGTTGTGGTTCAGCATGTTGGCCGCGACATTGAAAACATGCATGGCTGGGAAACATACTGACGGTTTACGCTTATATTTAAAACTGGCATCAAAGCAGGAAAGCTTATATTTAAAACTGAATTTCATTTTGTTTCGACAACGTAAATGAGCGGGCCAGATGCATTCGCTTCAACTTGCAACAGACGCCGGGGACAAACTTCAAATTTACCCTCCGATGTGTTTTTCACAATCACAGCACACATTTCCCAACCCAGACACCCCAAAATCAGCTCATTCGCTTCACCCCTTACAGTTTAAACCACCAGTACTTGGGCCCACATCTCGAAGCAGCGCGGGCTGTCGATTCGATTTATCGACGGCCCACCGGCCGCGGAAATCGCGTAGCGTTAACGCTAAGGCGTCGCCCAAATACTGGTGGTTTAAGCTATTTAAAACTGCAAGGGACTGAATTTCATTTTTGGAGAATTTTCGACAATCGCAGCAGTTCAAAAGCACAAAAGGTTACAGTTTGCGCTCTTTCAAACTGTTGCGAAAGCCCAAAAACAGGTCTGGACTGATTTTTTTATTTTTTATTTTCATTCTCGGTTTGTGTTTCATCCTTGCGCAGGGGCCGCGCAAGGATCTTCTCTGTATCGTTCCAATTGTAACGGATGTCCCGAAGGACCGCAGGGACTTAATTTCATTTGGAGAATTTTCAATTTTGGACGAAAAAGTCCTTCGGCACATCCGTTAAAACTGGAACGATACAGAGAAGATCAATTAGCATGGCCCCTGCGGAAGGATGACACGCATCAATCGAGAAATGCTCCAAAAAAAAAAAAAAAAAAAAAGGACAAAAAAGAGGCAGGGATCCCCATCAATCCGTCGATCACCATCCCAAGCATCAACTGCGCACGCATATCCACAAGGTATTCACAGGAAGATTACGAGGATGGAAGCCGTCCGCAGACTATATTCGTACAAACCGAGGGCACTCTCTGCACACACATACAAAGTTCGCCTCCGCCCCTCAGCAGCAACCTTCGGTGTCGCTGACTTTCCAATGTTGACGCCATGGGCATCATTTCCAAAGGGGCTAATCAGTCGCACACTGGACAGTCTGTCAAACAGTCCACCTCTTGAATAAAGTGTCCAATAATTCAATCCATCATAAACCCTAAACCGTAAACCTTAAGGGTTTAGCAAAAACGAACACAGCAAAAAGTTCAGTGTGAAAGCAATACAAGACCATACTAGTTGCAAGTTCTCAAGGTCTGCTGCTGCTGCCCCTCACCTGTTATACTCCCCATGATAGGTGAGCTCAGGCTCATCTGAGAAGGCATAGATCATGTCAACCGGCTCCGTGATGTCAATCGGCTTGGCGGTATTCCTAAGGTATACATAAAACCTGTTCATCCAAAAAACAAGAAGGCGTCAACACACAATTGTGTAAAATAATCACATGGAGCCGCAAAGTCCGATCGTCAAGCGGTCTGTGAGACAAGGGGGTTGTGCTACAGCTCCGATGAGTTTCAGACCTCCCACCGGCATGTCTATCATCTTCCTCTCTCAGAAACACCCAGCACTCGCCCCTGACCGGGGGACGGAGACTTGATCAGTACCATCCACCTAATGCTGCCAGCAATTTAAAGATCCCAAACTTCATTGTCAATTTGTCAGTCTTCAATCCCCCTTCCTTGCTTTTTGACACCAGAAAATTTCTTCATTCAGTAAATTGTAACCATAAATGCTGGCAATGAAGAAATGATGTTCTGCTTCATGCCTTCAACATTCAGTTTCAGTTTCAGTAAATTCAGTTTCAGTACACTCAGTTTCAGTTTCAGTTTCAGTTTCAGTTTCAGTAAATTCAGTTTCAGTTTCAGTTTCAGTTTCAGTCTTTCAGCCTTTCAGCCTTTCAGCCTTCCAGGTGATTAATAATTGCTGGCCAAACTAGATAAGCAGTTTCGATAACTTCTCAGAGCAGCAGCACCTCCAAGCGTCTTGTTCCCAATACAAGATTTCTGCTGCACACCAATAAAAAAAAAAAAGGAATGCAGCGCAGCATTAGCCATACCGCTCCACAAATAAGAATGGTACTGCTGGCAGCACCAGCCATTCCACTCAGGTAAGCAGAGAGCCCAAAGGAGGAGGGACATTACTAGCCAGCGCAGCACCTTTCTAGTTTTCTGCCTGGTAGCACCAGCCATTCTGCTCCGTGAAGTGGAGAGCTCAAAGGAGGAGGAACATTAATCGCCGGCACAGCACCTATCTTGTTTTCTGCCTGGCAGCACCAGCCATTCCCCTCGGGTAAGCGGGGAGCCCAAAGGAGGAAGGACATTAAGCCGTCAGTACCTCCACGTTCTTAGGCCATTAACGCAGTGGCTGAATCTGCCTGCCAGGCGGGGCTACATTCATTCGACTCAGAGGCAGCCTAAGAATGTGGTAGGTACTGGTGATTTAATAGTCATGCCGGAATGGAGTGGCTCGGAAACCGCAATTGTTTTTTTTCATTGTATAGCAACAGCAAGATGGTATAAAGTTACTGTTCTGCTTTTTCTTCTTTTTTTCCTCTTTCCATTTCTGAATTTTTGCTTGCCATCCTCACGCAGGGGCCGTGCTAATTTCTCTGTATTGATCCAATGACTCCGATCTCGTCCGTGCAAGGCCCAGTGTTTATGTGTAGACCTTCGATACATCGCCCAACAACATATATCAGATCAACTGGCCAAATCAACCTCCAGCAGGCCCCCTTCTTCCCATATCCAAATCTAGCATCTAACGTGCCAGCGCGATCGTATGTCAAGGTGAACAGAGAGAGGCCGGAGTTTCCAAACTGGCAAAACGTCAAAAAAAAAAAAAAGTCCTGTGGGTTCCGATGGTGCTCGACAGCATAAGACATCTAACACCCATCAAGACTCCACTGAACGTGATTGGTTCTTTCTGGGTGACGGGCACGGACTGGAGGATGAAAGCAGGAGGAACCAAAAGAAGAAACAAAAGACAGCCAGCGCCTGCAGAACCCAGATATCATCCCCAAACCCATCCTGTTACCGGCTTTCGGATCCCAAGGCATGGGGAAAAATAACGCCGAACAAACATGACACTCCTTGCAACATGGACAAGAAGTATTCAGACAATCACTATTTTGCGAACCCATAGTGAACAGACGACACAGGCATTTGTCCAACTCTGACTGCCCAAGGATACCAAGTGGCTCTAAAGGAATTGGGCCCAGCTCAGTTGGTACACCCATGAACTGGGTGGGATTTTTTTTTGTCCCGTGCGGCACCACTGCCAACCCTGTCCAGGTTCGGATATAGTTCCGATCAGATGAACAGAAGAGAGAATGATTCTTATTGAAAAATAAAGGGACGTGGGACGTGGGTTCCCTTGAAAGGTGCAAACGATTTCTCAAACTACATCTTCCACTGGCCTGGGTATTTGACTATCAAACCTACAAAGGTCAACAGTCCGTGATGGTCGACAGCCTACCTTCTTCCCCCGAATACAACGTATGGTAGTTATGGCTGTATGTGGGCGATTCTGGGGTATCTTTCAGTCTAAATACAGCTATAATGACCGTACGTTGTATTCGGGTGAGGAAGGTAGCCTGCGCAACCCTTCCTGCAAATCAATGGCTCCAGCCGCTCCACTAAACCAGGCAACACTCCGTCCGAACGAAAAACAACACCACCTCGTATGCAATGAACGGACAATAGAAGTGTGCCTGAAGATATAGTCCACTGGATGCTAATTTGCCCTGAAGCACACTGGACCTGGTACCAGGTCAGCAGTTTGCCATGGTCGACAGCCTACGTACGCAACTCTTCATGCGAATCGATGGCTCCATTGCAACAGGCAGGCCACACTCCAACCCAAACATCCTGAAGATACAGTCCACTGGATGTTGATTTGCCAAGGGGATCCGAGAACAGGCAACACTCCGACCCAAACAGCCTGAAGATATAGTCCACTGGAAGATACGCATCTCTTCCTGCGAATCAATAGCAGCCTGGACCTGGTGGTACAAGGTCAAACAGCTTTGGGCATCTCTATTTTCCTCTCCTCCTCCCAATAGCAGCTACTGTATATCAACCTCCTCCGTTCCCAAAAGGGCAGCAAGGAGATCTGTTTCCATGTGATAAGGAAGCTGGCACTACAGGGAATATGGAAACGCAAATGTACGCCAAGCATCGACATGTAGGCAGTAACAGGGCAAGAGGTATGGTTGTTATTGGTCAAAACGGGGGAGTCCGAAATCCAGTGCAGATGGTAGGCTCTGACCTGAGGAGCAGTTCCTGTCTAATAAAAAGCCTTCTACAGGGACTGGTTGATGTGGGGCACGATAGCAACGATCATTATTATTATATATTAAACCACCAGTACTTGGCCCAGATATCGGCCGCGAGCGATTCCCGTTAACGCGCCGGTAGTTGCGGGCTTCGGGGCACCGAAGCGCAATGGCTGGAAGCGCCAGCCAAAATCAAAACGAAACGGTGCCCCGACGGCTCGGTAAAACTTGGCGCGGCCCAGCTATTGACGTCGAGCCGCGATACCCCCATCGTTTATAACTTAACCTACCAGTACTTCCACCGTACGACGGCTCGGTAAAACTATCCCGGCTCGGCATCAATATCTGGGCCAGGTACTGATGGTTTAAGTTATAAAAGAATGTCATGCGATGGAAGAGCTGGCATGGAGCAGGGCTCCAGGCAAACGGTCCACCCAAGAGACCCATCACAGTAGTGACATCCTCAGAGAACAACCTGCAGCTACAATCACCTGGACCTCAACAGAGCTCGTCATCTATTTCGGGTCTTGAAGCAGATCATGTGATTCCTGTACTTGGTTAGTTCTTGAGGAACAGGCTATCGGACAGTCAATCCTCCCTCAAGGAGCAATCTATGCTGGTCAGCCATCCTTCACCTGAAACAGAAGAAGCGTCTTGTGGGTCATATCTTGTGCTCGAGCTTCCTACTTAACAGTGGAACGAACCATACTAATGCTTCATAGAGTCGCCAAGGGGCCAGGACCACAAAGACCTGTTTAAATTACGGGGGCCGGGGGAGAGGGGGGGGAGGGCGGAGGGGGGGTCCACTCAATTCTATACTGCCACGATGTCTGAAAAGCCATCTATCTACTCAATCCCTAGGGCACTGTCATGATAGGTCACTAAAAACAGATCATAAACTGAATTTCTCAAGCTGCAGATGGAACACAGCCAGAACCCCGGCGAAGTAACCAGCCTGGCATTCCGCTGAACGCCGAGTAGGGGAGAACGCAAGAGTAGTTGGGGAAGCCATCACACATCCGTTTCTGAATTGTGAAGGGAGGATAATGGGCGACGGCTGAGCAAGTACGGCTGCATTGCCAATGCAGTGCAATACGGAGTGGTTATGGGTCTGAATCTGTGAGGGAGTGGTGGTGAAGAGAGCAGAGTGGGATGATATATGGAACCTGATGATGTGGTACTCTGAGGGGAGGACAAGAGAGACTCTGCATTCCCCTGAGATGTTCTGGACCGGACAGCCTGGAATCCTATGACTGGAAGTAAAAAACATGGCCGGCTCATTATTGGAGTGGAGTTCCAAACATTCCCATCGGGTACATCACCTCACTACCAAGTGTTTGCAGCCCCAGCAAACAGGGAAGAACGACCACAAGAAGGCATTGCAACACAACGGAGGGGGGAAAAGCCAAAAAGTCTGCATGTGATACAATCGAACACAGACAAAAAAGAAAAAGAGTGCTCTGCTTCAATCCCTGCGAGTGACTAAAAATGTGGTCGGCTAGTTCCACTGGGATGGGGTCTCAAGCTTCCCATAGGGTGTATCACCACAGTAGGAGGTCTCTGCAGGACAATCGAACAGGAATAAGGGCCATAAGGAGGCACTCCACCAAGAGTAAAGGCCGAAATAAAAATGGATCATAGACCAAGCCCCACGATACAGAACTTTGCTTCAATCCCCATGAGTGGCCAACAACAACAGCTTTTTATATGCAAGAAAATAAAGAACGAGAGAGAGAGAGAGAGAGAGAGAGAGAGAGAGAGAGAGAGAGAGAGAGACCGAAATAAAAATGGATCATAGACCAAGCCACGCGATACAGAGCTCTGCTTCAATCCCCACGAGTGGCCAACAACAACTTTTATATGCAAGAAAATGAAGAACAAGAGAGACACAGAGAGAGAGACAGCGAGAGAGAGAGAGAGAGAGAGAGAGAGAGAGAGAGAGAGAGAGAGAGAGAGAGAGAGAGAGAGAGAGAGAGAG